AATTCGACAAACCAGAATCAGCAGACGTCCTGCTCGAGCAAAAATGAATATACCTGACCCGCCACTTGGGTCGAAAAATGAATTCGACAAACCAGAATCAACAAACAACCTGCTTGAGCCGTAATGAATCCTATTTCCCTGCCTTTGAAGTCGAAAGTCGATTCGATAAAACCATAATCAAAATAAAATCTAATCAACCTGTTTGAGTTGTAATGAATCCCATCTCCCTACCTGCTCGAGTTATCTGTAGCGATTTTGATCGACCTACCATTGGGGTTAAATGCACATATATACAGTAATACCAGATCAAATAGAACCAAGTGTAAATCATCGACCTTTCTCTGAGGTCTGCTCGAGCTATCCATGTCTTCACACTTGCCCACCCATCCAAGGGATGTTCGAAACAGGGGGTCAACCTGCCCATCCCAAGGGGTGTACTAAACAAGCGACCACCCAGCCCGGAGGCCTTAGTCATGGTGGAATTTGTCTTCAGGCACTTGCCGACCCCGGGGGGGGCCTTCCGAAACAAGCGACCACCCAGCCCGGAGGCCTTAGTCATGGTGGATTTTGTCTTCACACTTGCCCACCCATCCGAGGGATGTTCAAAACAGGCGACCAACCTGCCCATCCCAAGGGGTGTTCCGAAAACAAGCGACCCTCGCCCACCCCTATCGCAGGATTAGGGGTGTTCCAAAAACGAGAGACTTTTTTCTTCGCTCGGACGACCTGCCACTGAGGTCGAATATGAAACACCAGATACAACAAGATAGGATAGTAATCGATCATTTCCATTAGAGTCTCAATTGTATAATTACATCGAACGAGATAATAATAGAAAATATTCAACGTATTCTGTAATATCCCGATATTTTAATCGGTATAAATTACGTTTAATTTCGATATAGTAACGTTATCGTTCATTATTGTCGGAATTAATTAAGTTCAGTCGGAATTACCGAAATTGATTTTCGACGTATCGTTTACGTTTGGAATAAATTTTGGTAATTAAGTACTATGTTTAATTAATAATTAAACATAAACTAAGAGTGATTAATGTTAATTAATCACAATTAGTTGTTAGAAGCCCTAATTGCCGTGAGAATAGTGAAATTTTTCCAAACATTT